TTGTTCTTTTGCAGTTTTAAAATTCTTTATAAGTCGTATTAACGCGATTGCTTTCCTGAAATCAAGCCTGCCTAAGGCACGTTTGGCAACAAGTTCTGAAGCACCAGCGTGGCTCAGTGGTAGAATACTGGGCTGTCACCCAGCGAACTAAGGTTCGAGCCCCACTGTGTCTCTAGTATTGTTTTCTAATTTCGCGTGCTGAGGTTACGGACACCAGTGGCGGCGGTGGCGGTGGACAACTACGACAGCGCGTTAACCGAGTTTTGATTTCATAACCGCCTTTGCTGTAAACTGTCCCTTCTGGGGTGTTTCAAAGTGAAAAAGTACTGGCCAGAATTTTCTGGATGAAGGGCGAACAGACACGGATGGGTGCAACAGTTTGTCTTTTTGTGCTTCGCCCAGGAAATGTGTGCAAAAAGTAGTTGATCGAAGAGTTATAACTAGTTCGAAAAGACACCTGGCTAAGTCTAAAGTTTGTGTCAGTATGCTATTAACTAGTCCAGAGACACCCAAGGCAGATGACCAATGCCCTGCAGCAGACCACCTCCACTGAAGAAGAAATGGCAGGCTCATACTAATCGGCCATGTTCCCCGCTCACCGGTTGTCTATTGGTCACTACTTCATGACGTCATTCAGGAGTGCACACCTGTGGGCGTAGTCTTGTGTGCGTTCACCTTTGAGGAGGAAACGCCACAGGCTTCTAAAGTTTAATTCTACTATAGTGGGTCACATTCTATTCAGAAATGCTTAACTCAAGCGAATCCAAGGGCAGTAAGAGAACGTCTTTTGCTATAGTGGGTGACTATCTATTCAGAACAGCTTAACTCAAGCGAATCCAAGGGCAGTAAGAGAACGTCTTTTGCTATAGTGGGTGACTATCTATTCAGAACAGCTTAGCTCAAGCGAAAGCCAACGGCGGTAAAAGGACGTCTTTTGCCGTTGAAATATTTTGTTTGCCATGGTTCTAAACAGCGCCTTTCGGAATAGCTTTGCGCACTTATTTTTGTATTACCTAGCTTGATTCTTTTTGTCACCATTTCTTTCTACTATTTCTTAGCCATTTTCAGGGCATCTCATTCATTTTGTTTGAACAATACTTGCGTTGTGGAAAAATGTCTCCAGCATGCGCTCAGTAAAGCCAGACATATATGCCGTTTCGGCAGCACTATCAGAAATTGACATCATCCTTGCACAGGGCAATTTTAGAGATGTCAAGTGTATATTGAGCCAAAATAAACTCCACAAAATAAAAAATAACCTCTTTAAGAGAGCGTACAAATTCTTAAGCACTTCGTGACTCCCCTGTACACATTAGGCCACTTGAGACATACATGTACCAAATTTTCCAATTCATACTAAAATCTAATATTCGATCAGAAGCGTGCATTAGAGAATGAGCGGTGGAAGGTTGACTTAGGATTATTTTTTGCCCTTAAAGTTTCAGCATTTTTTAATACTTTTCTCTCTGACTAGTGCAGTGACGCTAAGCAATGAAGTACACAGTAGTCGGTCATTACAACAAAAAGGCATGACGGCAGTGGAAAATATTAGTCACAGACCATCAACAGTCAGAAAATTTGCTAGTTTGATCTTTAAGAGTACCTTGTTTAATTTGTTGCACTTGCCCCTAGAGGTGGTTTACAGGTTTTCCTGCTCAATTACAAGTGCCAGGTACAATACAAGTGACAGTTTAAATAATCTGCACGCCTTTAAAATATTCTGAGCGCCAAGCTATATACTCCATGTGGTAAACATTTATTCCAAGCACCAGTATATTTATTCCGAGTGCCAACTCAATTAGGAGGCATGCAAGTGAATTTAGTTCAAGCGTCACCATTTTTATTCTGATTGCCAACGGCTTGAATTCAGATGTCAGTCAGTTTGATCCATGCACAAAAACGAAATATGGGGCATAAAAACGAATGTACAATTGAAATACAGATTCTACATAATGTAAAATAGTAGACGCAAAATAGAACAAATCCTTATTATTTGTATTCGCTGCTAGTATTTGTGAAAAAAAAAAACTACTGCCGTTGTTCGCTTGAGTCGTGTTTGTACTTTTCTATGTACAAGTTTGCAGATGAGTGCTTGGCCCGGGTGGAGTCATTTTAAAGACAACGAAATAAAAAGAAGAAACATGGTAACGAATAACTTGTATTCTTCAATAACGCTCTTAATTGGATTTATTTAGCAATATACATGACCGGGGCAGGTCATGTAATGCAAAGGACAGAATATGATTATCAGAGTTCCAGAATGCAAGAAATGTAAAAGCTAGCCATGGGCAGCGATAGGTCAAAAGCAGGTACATGCTCTAGAAATTAGGAGGCACTCACAGGGAAGAGCGAATGAGAGATAATTCGATGAGGTTTTCGTCCTGCAGTGCACTTAACACGTAAACTCATGATCCTGATGTGGGCAACGGAAGTGATATTTTACATTAATATTAGCTGTTTTCTTTTTACTCATACAAAATATGTGTATCCGATGAAACTCACATGTTTCAAGGAAATATGCTTCAGAAACACTAGCGTCGTCTGTTACATAAAACAGGGGTATCTCTTTGATGCTTTTATAAAAAAAACCTAATCCCTCATGAAACCAAATAAGTGCAAGTTCAGTTTTTCAAATGGTTATATCTGATATCAAGAACGGAAGAGTATCATCTGTTGGTCACCAAGGTTTTAACCGAGCTGAGCAGACGACGGCGAACGCCTCAGCGAATAAGCAGCCAAATGATGTCTGCTGAGCAGACGACATGAATTTCTGTATAGCGATGGCGTAGTTGATTAGCAGGAATAACGCAGTAGCGATGAAGCATAGACTAACACGAATTCTATGAGCAAATACATTTAATACCAGTGAAGGCAATTATACGCACTGTTTTTTTTTTAATTTGAAGATATGTCACCAAAAAGTTAGGGGGAGATAGCATTCACCTCCTTTTATAATGTGATATCTTGCAGGTAAAACAAGTGAAAAGTTCTTCCTGTCGCTCCACGCTTACCCTATTATTATATTTAGATTTAAAAAAATGGCAAACCATGGGTGTCTCTTGCATGGAATGAAGTGAGGGACACCTAACTGAAGCCGTTGGCAATCAGATTAAACATGCTGGCTTTTGGACTAAATTCACTGGCACGTGGTCTAACCAAGTTGGCGCCTGGAATAATTATATAGGTGCTTCAACTAAATGTTTAGAACATGGAATAAATAGCTTTGCACTCTGATCATTTCAATGGCGTGTGAATTATTTAGACTGGCACTTAGATTAAAGTGAGCGAAAAAACCAGTAGTGGTTAAGCTACTCGACTGCGGACCCGCAGGTCGCGGGATTGAATCTCGACTGCGGCGACTGCATTTTCGATGGAGGCGAAAACGCTGTACGCCCGTTTGTTCAGATTCAGATGCACGTTAAAGAATCCCATGTGGTACAAATTTCCGGAGCCCTCCACTAGGGCGTCTCTCACATAGATATAATGGTTTTGGGACGTTAAACCCTACGTATTAATTAATTTGTTGTGCTGTCCTTACGCATGAAAGTGAAAAAAGGTTGTTGTTATTTCTAAGGTGCTTCGTCTGAAGACTGCTCGGTAAAATTCTTTTCTTGCTTTCTGCCCAGCAGGTTTTTGTTAGGAATGGACGTTACTCTATATTGGTTATACAAACAAATTTGAATTTATGTGCCTTTGCTGTTGCTGCTTATTGCGTCGGCTATTCAGACAAGTATGAAACACTCATGTCTATATTTCTATCATATTGAAACCGCCCACCTGCTAAGACTTAAGCGTTTGCAGTACGTAATAAAAATTACGCATGTACCGCTAAAGAAAACTATGTGTGGATGCGAAGCAGCGGGGAGGTGCGAACGACTCTCACAGAAGCTCGTATAGGTCGCCTTAAGCAGGTGCACCAACATTCAGAGGCTCCACCTGACTAACGGCGCTGGGGACTATTGCTTGATGCCGGTGACTGCTGCAGTGACTGCTTCCGGTGACCAACGCGGATGGTAAACATGTTTAGCACTGCTAAACGGCTAGTCTCTCAACGCACATACCAGGGACATCAAACGTGATTCTGCACTAACCAAAGCAGACGCAGTCTGTCTCGTGGAAACCTGGAACAGTGACAATGCAAGACTGACGACCAACGGCTACGAAGTGATTGTGTCTACTGAGAATGCGTCTCGCTGCCTTCACCGCCGACTCGGAAGAGAGGGGGAGCTTAAAAGAGGGGGAGAGAACGTGCATGCACCTTGGGGATGTGGACGCCAAAGGAGGAGAGAGAGTGGGGAGCGTGGGACAGGCGAATGACGGGAGGGGACACGCATGCTAAGTGAGGCAGAGAGAAATCCAGCACCAGGTATGAGATACTTCGAATCTAATAAATATAATCAACTGCCTCTAAAATGCGGCTACCCACGTTCGTTAAGTCGCTCTTTCGAGATGGCCAATTTGTAGTTTTGACATTATTAAACATAACACTACTCCTTATGATGTTCAAGAGATAATTGATTGATATGTGGGCTTTATTGTCCCAAATCCACCATATGATTACGAGAGGCGCCGTAGTGCGGGTGACGATAGTTATAGAGTGAGAACAGAACGACGACACAAAGACAAGAAGGACAGAAAGGACTCTGTGTTGTCTCAGTGTCATCGTCCTGTTCTCCCGCTAAAACTATCATCATGAAGAGTGGCAGCCCAAGCTACCACTCTTCATAGTGGAGGGCTTCGCCAATTCTGACCACCCGGGGTTCTTTAACGTGCACCCAAATAATTTTTGAGAGAGTAGTAAATACTATTACCCCATAGAGAAGCAACTGCTTCCTCACTAATGCTGCAAACGGTTCCGTTAAGAACTTCTCTTCACTAGTGGGGCTTCCGCCTATACGCTTAGCACATTTTTTATTACTTTTTATCTAATTACACTGAACAGGCAAACATGTGTAAGTTGACACTAGGATTACGTTTTGTGACGACTGCTCCGCATCTGCCTAACTCCTCTTGCGAAACCAAACACGTAGACCACCCCTGGCTTTCAGCACGACTTCGTATGTGATCTTGAGGTCTTCAACGGGTTTCGTTGACTCCAAGGTGAACTTCGATAAAACCTTTGCAAGGAGCAGCTTAGCTTCCTGCATGAAGAACCGTTGACCTGCACAGTAAATTGCTACCTGTTCATTTCCGCAATGCAACCAACGTTAGCGGAGCATTTCCTAGCCTTTATATATAAAAACAGTGCGAACATGAAGTCAGCAGGAGCAATATACACACGCAATAAAGCACCACCGTAACTTTAGAATAAATAGAAAATACAACAGGTATAAAAAATACGTAGACGGAGCAAATGCGCTCATGCGTTAGTAAAAAGAATAAAAAGAAGTTTTAGTAGAGAGTTTTGCGTTTCACAGAAATTAAAGCAAAAGTGCGTGTTGACATCCCTAATAATAAAAGAAAACTTGGATATCACTTGTACCATGCGGTGCTAAATGGACCCCGCTCTTATTGCATCCTTATTCACTGGCTAGACTTCACTTCTCGTTCAATAGTGCTGCGAGGAAACTAACGTCTGTAACCTCACATGAGCCGCTTTCAAATGCCGAGTGCAAGTAAAGCTGTGAACTGCCCACGACATTAGTCATCCTGAGAAATAGTGAAGTGCACACTTTGCACATATATGTTAGGGCCTGTGTATGGTGTACCACATTTCGAGGTCACATATCCTGAGGTGCTAATGGCTTCAGGATTTAGATTAAGTACAAATGTCCCCTCCTCTTCTTGTCTTTAGTCTCTCACTTTCATTGCGTGAGTCAAACTGAGTTATCAGGTGGTTACTCATACTATTATTGACAAATCGCCACATCGGTTGCATTTCGGTGGAGGTGAAACGGTAGATGTCCATGTACTGTGTGATGTTAGTACATGTTAAAGTGCACCAGATGAGCGAAATTTCTGGGCCCTCCACAATGGCATCTCTGATAACCCTATGGTGGTTTAGGGACGCAGAACCTCAGATATATTATTATTAATGTTAGCAAATGTTTCAAGCGAAATATTGCCCTACTGAGCTATGGTACTGAATCTCTTTTCAAAATACTTTCTGTGATTGCGCCAAGGTTCACAGACTGTTAGGTCAAAGATAAAATATAGCACTGTCGATTTGCCGCCCAGGAGTGTATCGCACTAGCTTGAATCACGGGACAATTTTTTTTCTCTGAAACTGACCGGGAACTGTAGCCGATTTCTCAGGCCTACATTGTTTCAACAAAACGCTTCTGGTGCGAAAGTCTATTATAGCAGCAGCGGTTTTGTGTCAGGTGACATTCAGCATGTCTTTTCATTTGCTTTGTCTATGCAATGTTACACCACGGAAAAAGGGAAAAACACAGAAAGGTACACACAGCGATATGCCGCAGAACTGATAAGCGGGCGTAGCCAGCAATCCAGCACGCTGACAGAAACTTACAAAAGGTTCATGACCCTTTTTATGCCACTCAGCGATATATTTCTGTAGAAACTCGTGCTATCAGTTGGCGATAGCACGGTGAAAACGAATGCTGAAGTATGTCGACAATCCAACAAGTGTTTCATCACTCGTTCTGAAAGCTCACGTTACTCGCATTTTCAAAACGCCTTCCGAAAGGTGACGTGTAGGAGTGCGAAAGGCGTGCTCTGTACCTCAGGTGAATTAATTTGCAACGTATATTAAAATGGAAAAATAGTGCGAACACAGGGCGAAGGAGCGTGATACGAGATCGTCTTATCTTCCGTCGTCACATCTTCGCGTTGTTTTTCCGCAGCGAAATCTTTTTCCACCAGCGCATGTATTTAGGAAAAGTTTTGATTTGTGTTAAGCTCCCAGCTACGGCCACAGGTTTCACTCCCTTAGGAATGTTGCACCACAAGTGTACGTGGCATTAGGCGTGAAAGGTCGATCGACGTACCGTGTTATATTGTGACAGTAGGAATATTTTTCTGCCTGATATACCGATGCTCACAACGCGATGTTCCTACAAAATTGCATGTGTTTGCATTCCATCAAACACAGGTGCCTTCTCGCGTCTTCTCACAGCTTTTCTGTACAATTTCAATCTGAATGTGGCACACGCTTGAGACTTGCATAATTGAGCTGACACCAATGAATGGAAATTCGCACGGAAGCAACAGTTGTATGTTTTTGTGCCACTGTGATGCAAGAGGGTTGCTTGCAATTACAAAATATTGTCTGTGGCACTATATTGTAGCTTTATTCATTCCTTTAGCTTTAAAATACTTAGTTTTATTGCTGACAGTTCATCTACAGTCCATTTTGTAGATTTTTATGTTGCACACGGGGCCGCTACTGTGATAGGTTGTGAATGACTTTTGCCATCTTGCGGAAGTTTTGCGCTAAAACGAAAACCTCTGAATGCAAAGAAAAAAATTGGGGGCCTTTAGGCGCCATTTTTAAGGGTTGATCGTGATAGTGATATCCTATGCATAGTGCCTACTTCAACTACCTAATGCATACTGTTTTATTGTAATATGTTAATCGAGAAGTTTAAATTGCAGATTACGACAATGTATTATATAAAGTCGAAAGCGGCTTGTGTCAGTGAAGCTTTTTCCTATGGCTGAATTCGGTGTAATGAATAACATGCTGTAAACCACAGGAATAATGCATGTGAAATCTTTTCGAACTTGCTATACGCCCACTACGTAGTTTAAGGGAACATGCACAGTACCGTGTGTGTCTTTTGTTGCTAGTGGCAGGAGTTGAACCATGAAATCAGTATGATAACCACGTTTTTTCACGCCCAATAGCAATGTGTGCTTGTAGCACGTAATTATACTGTGATATAACATGTTGCATTGTGAAGCTTCTATACAGCACGCGTGTGTTTGTGAAACATGAGATTTACTTTCCCTACATTTCCAAGCAGAGAAAAGTTTTTTTACTGTATTTCCAAGCAGGGCTTCGGCTGTGGTGTAGAACACCTGCTTTCCACCCAAACGACACGGGTTGGATAGGGAAATTTGTATTATTTATTTATTTTTTTCTTATAGTTCTCGATTGATAGACATGTGGGGTTTGACGTCCCAAAATCACCATATGATTATGAGAGACGCCGTAGTGGAGGGCTACGGAAATTTTCACCACCTGGGGTTCTTTAACGTGCACTCAAATCTTGTGAGCTTGAGAGCGTGCGAGCTGCACAACGTCGTCCGCGTCGACTCTGCGGTTTCTCGTTCTTAACAGTACAGCTATCGTGAAGGGCAAGACGCCTGTGGCGGTGGCTCTGACAAGCAGGAATGTTCTAAACGGCCATTTGTATGTTTCGGTTCGCTAAGCTGTAGACTTTTGCGCTGTTATCGCATTTCGAAAAGCTCTATTATATATACATGGTGCTTATACGTCTCCGCGGGGGCACGTATCTTCATTCTAAAAAGCTCTGAGCCAAATTGGCTTTGGTGTTTATGTTTTTATAGTGTTTAATCATCTCCCGTAATTTTCAGGCCTTCATTACCAGCAGCCGGAGTAGCATACAGGTCAAGATATTGACCTTGTGAGATCCAGAACGCAATTTCATTTTCCGGCCACTATGCGTATGAAATGCACGATACTCATGTATATATATTTAGGGGCCAGTCGAAAAGCCGTACATGAGAATAAGGAATCTGGAGTTATCAATTTTATTTTGCCTAGGAATCAAATCATGGTTGTCGCACGTCATCTGCCACAAAAGGATAATTTTTCTGACCATGCAGGCTCGTTAGTGACCAAAGAAATTTATCGGTGTGCTAATGTTTCTAGTTTATATAATTTCCACAATGTCTGCATACCGCATGTGTACATGAGACCTGGCATATTCACTAAGCAAAGTCTAAGAACTCTTCACCTGATATTATTCTCGAAGTTCAGAAACAACAGGAGGCCGAAACCCATACTCTATATATGTATAGCTTCTATTGAATTTGCAGCCGTCAAAACAATCTATAGCCAATGCACACTTCATTCACATGAAAAAAGTGCTCAGAGACAAAGATGTAAACCTTCACAAGGAAAAGAAGGGGGTCTTACCTAGGCAGTTCTTGGGTCCGGCAGAGAAAGGAACGTAGGAGTATGGGTGCCGCTGCGTGAATTCCTCGCTCAGGAAACGCTCGGGGAGGAAGCTGTCTGGCTGCCGGAAATGTCTCGGGTCTCTGTGCAGGCTGTAGAGGTTTATGAAGCATGTCAGGCCTTTAGGAAGACGGTAGCCATCTGCAGCAAAATAAAAAAAAAGTTCAGGTATTTTTGCTTAGTCCGGAAAATCTTGGACTGTGCAAACTTGATGTCATTTGCTCCTGCCATGCCGGGTATTATACCGTCATGTACGCGCATAGCAGCGCAGTACTGCGGTTGCTACAGGCCTCAAATGAAGTTATGAATTCATCTCTAAGCAACGTGTAATTTGACAATGTAAAGCGGCTTGGATAAAAGATTGAATTACTGTATCAGATCATGTCTGATTACTGACAAGCCTTGACCAGTTGAATAAGTATACTCGAAAAACGGCTAATGAAAATGCGCATGTGAACGATGCATCTTCAAACATCGTATTTCTGCACGCTCACAGACACCAAGTTTATCACGCACCAAGCTCGAAGTTTGATAGTTATTAAACCTTCGCTTAAAAAAAGGCAAGCGCCACATACAGTGGGAATCGATGATACGAAAAGCATGACTAAGGAAGGTTCATATGTTACTTTACAATCAGCACAACGTCACGAGGTGGACGTAAATTATGCCGTACATGACTTCCATACTGACACGGAGGTGCATACTGTGACTAGTAACATTGGTCTCGGTGCAGTGCTCGTTTAACGGCAAGATGGTATCGAAAGAGTCATAGCATACGCCTGCCGCTCCCTTTCCCGTGCCGAGGCGAATCACTCCACTACGAAGAAAAAGAATGTCTCGCAGAATATACTGTAGGCAATCACCAAGTTTTGCCCGTAGCTTTATTGTTGTCCTTTCAAGATAGAGATGGACCCCCATGCCCTTTGGTGGTTGACAAACATGTCCGACCCTTTAGGGTAATTAGCACGGTGGAGCTTGCGACTGCAGAAATTTGACGTCACCACCAGTTATAAGTTCGGCCGTAAGCATGAAGACGCTGACACACATCCACGCACACCCCTTCACCTCATCAGTCAGGGAGCAGAGGGCGACGAAGGCTTCCTGGGAGCTATTAGCTCGTCGGACTTAAGTAGATGACAACGTGAAGTCGGAAAAATTCGACCAATTGTCGATCATTCAGAGGGCCAAGTCATAACCATACTACGCAGTTTGTCCCGCTTGTTGACGTCGTTTTGCCTGCAAAATTGCGTGCTATACAAGAAGAACGTCCGTTCAAACTTCCGTGCTTACGTTCTTGTGGTTCGCCCCGCCGCGGTGCTGTGGTCTAGTGGCTAAGGTACTCGGCTGCTGACCCGCAGGTAATGGGATCAAATCCCGGCTGTGGCGGCTGCATTTCCGATGGAAGCAAAAATGCTGTAAGCTTGTATGCTCAGATTCGGGCTCACGTTAAAGAACCCCAGGTGGTCGAAATTTCCGTAGCCCTCCACTACGGCGTCTCTCATAATCATATGGTGGTTTTGGGACGTTAAACCCCACAAATCAATCAATCCATCCTAGTGGTTCCTCGAGACATGCCAGATGACGTCTTTTTAACTTGCCATGACTAACCCACGTCTGTCCACCTAGACTACTCACTCAACACTTGCCAGAGTGGGCAAGGAGTACTTACTATTGGCTAGGACTTTCGGCAAGCGTCAAACAGTACGTCAAAGGCTGCCGGGAATACCAGCGCCCAAAGGAACCATCTGTTAAGCCGACTGGCTTACTTCAACCAAATGAAAAACTCTACACGCCGTACGACCAAGTCGGCAAGCACATTCTTGGACCATTTCACCTGTCTGCTGACAGAAACAAATGGGTGATCGTAGCGACCGACTATTCAACACGCTACGTGGAGACACAGGCGGTCCCACGAGCCATGACCTCTGAAGTAGCCCAATTTTTCATGCGCCACATCATGTTGCGTCACGATGCACCTTCTAGCGTAATAGCGGATAGAGGCACAGCATTCACGGCACAGCTTATAGACGAAGTTTTTGAAATAAGCAACACCAAGCACTAAAGGACAACCGCGTACCGCTCGCAAACCAACGGGCCTTCCGAGCGGCTGAATAAGACGCTTGCAGACATGATGGCAATTTACATCGACGTACAGCACAAAACATGGGACCAGATCTTTCCTTACTTGACCTTCGCGTATAACAACGCCATGCAAGAAACCATGCGATTCAAGCCATTTCGGCTTCTCTAGGGCCGTGAAGTGCTGACAATGCTCGACTCCATGCTACCGTGCGAAGACGACGACAAGTTGGCAACTGACTCCGTGGAATTAGCACAGCGTGCTGAAAAGCTCGAACGCTAGAATGACTGCACATCGGCCAGCAGCAGCAGGCATGCAGACGAACAGCGCTATATATGTGTTACAGAGAAGTGGTGTACATCCCCGGACACCAAGTATGGTTGTGGACGCCCGTTCACCACCGAGGCCCCAGTGCAAAGTTACTTAGGTGGTATTGCGGCCCATACAAAGTTCTACACCGTGCCAGTGACGTGAACTAAGAAGTGGGCCCGGACACAACACCCCAGACACGGACCAGAACATGACCAAGCCCGGACATAGTTCATGTTGTGCGCATAAAATCGTTCACTGCGCGTTCATGAGTTTGTTTTTTGATCATTCACCAGTATTTGTGTTTTCTATTTATTGTGGTGAACTTGCTTGTTAGTTCATTAACTTTTTATAATTGTTACTCTTTTTATTTTCTACTTTCTTTTCATGTGGCTTTTCTATTTCCTTTTCTTTTTCACGCGTCTCTGTTATAGCATCGGGGCGATGTTATGTCTTTTTCTTCTTCGCTCTTGTTCGTTTTGTCTTGTTTGCTTCTTTCGGAAGGGGCGATAATGCCGCCGGCATGTAATGAGTTCAGAGCAAGAGCAGCTCTTGCCCTCAAAAAAAAAAAAAAGATCGCGTGCTTCGTCTTCACTCGAGAGCCAGCCGCGATGAACGCGCTTTTCCAGAGGTGGCTAGATCTTGGTTAATAATAGGTGTCATCCATTGACATATTCGGAGCACTTCCGGTAATACTTTCTCATGCTCCATGCGGAGCAACTCCATGTCATTGACGGGTTGCGAGTGCTGCCTGTATGTTTCATTGGCAGATCTGGAGAAGCTCAATTACGCAATCCACTTTACGGGGCAACTTTTTCTGCTCTGGGAAAATTGGTAGATTTGACCGAAAGTTGCAAGCGCCCCATGCATTTAAACGGTGCCAACTTTGGGCGCACCAATGACCGCCGGTTGCTTCACTTGCACCTCGCATCAGAGCTGACATTTTGCATGCATAGCGTGGCTCTCCCAGCATTCCCACTCAAGCAAAAAGAAAAAAGTGCGCTTCGCCGTTCATTCTGACCCTGCGATTTGCTCCAGAGTGAGTGCGTCTGTTTTATTAGTAGATTCACTTTTGTTGGCCTCCGTCAGAGCGGAGTGCTCCGGCGCAGAGTTCATGGGTCACTTTGAATTTATTTATTAATTTATGTATTCATACTGCAATCCCTATTACAGAGATTTTAGCAGGGTGGTTACAGTTATAATTTTCACAATGTTGGCACTCAAGATTGCATAAACCAAACAAACAAACAAAAAAATAGAACAGCTATTTATTTATTCATACTGCAATCCCTATTACAGAGATTTTAACAGGGTGGTTACAGTTATAATTTGTAACCATGCTACCTCATGTTATGCCTTTGTTCTGTACCACTCCCCTCTGTAATGCCTCTGGCCCTGAGGGTATAATAAATAAATAAATAAATAAATAATTTTCACAATGCACTGATAGATGACACCATAAAAGACCCTTGCACTTCCGAAGTCTCATGACAATATCATTGTTGTCATGCTTGCGCCTGGGATTTGTGTGTGTCGTCTATTCATGTCACGTAATGCCAAATTTTGTACGAGTGAAGCTACCAAAACAGCCGCTAGCACCCTTTGAGCGTAGCACATCACCTTGTTTTGCATGACACGCATATCTTGATTATCATCTCTGGACGTGTCATTTACCTTCGTCGTATATTCACGTCACGTAATACCAAATTTGGTACATGTGGAGGAGCGAAAAGACCACGAGCAGGCTATAATCATTGTGTGTACTCATGCCTTTACATGACCTGCACGTTATGATTTCCAGGTTAGGGTCTGTCACTTAAGCTCGCTATGCAGTCATGTCAAGCCATACTAGTTTTGCATTATGTCAGCCAAATGAAACCGTCGCAAGAGCAGCAAGCCCATGAAATGTAAACCAAGACATCCATGGCATACATGTCATGATTTTCATGTTATGACTTGTCACTTATGCTCGCAATACAGTCATGTTTTGCCATACCAATTTTAATATAGATCCCGTTATCAAAATGGCCAGGAGAGCAAAAAGTCGTTGGCGTCTAGATAGATAGATAGATAGATAGATAGATAGATATGGTTAAAGTTGCCGAATTTTACTGAAAAACGCTTCGCACTTAAAAGGCGTAGTCGTTCAAGCGCCTTGTCATGCTCATTGTCTAGGACTCTGAACGGAGTGACTAAACGGGACCGCGTGAAAAACGGTGAATTACCGATGATGATGAATACTACAAACAGAAGCTCAAGAAAGCGGCTTCAGGTGATCTTTTATTGCGATAGCAGAGTTATGGACACTCTCGGCTGGATTTCACCGCAGGCGTCAGCGTCAGCGTTGACGTGGGCGTCGGCGTCGATGTTATGCACCATACATGTATACTTATCTAAATATATGAAAACGCAAGAAAAAAAATCCTGAAAAGACTCCAGCGCACGGAATCGAATGTGGGCCTCTGGTTCGTGAATTCCAGGCAATTAACCACTGAGTCACCGAGGGGTACCTCCTTCAACGTTCAAACGGCAAGCCATTTATATCTACCACTTACCGCTGTTGGCGGGCATATTGTGGGGAAACTATCGTGTTATGAGCATTGTCAGCAAGATTGCGCAGTGAGCACGTGGCGGCTCTCATCTCTCACGTGTACTTTGGCCCCGCGTAGAGATTAAGGGGGTGTGCGCTCGAGCGCGCGTCCTTATCTCCCGGTGGGGTGGATCTTATGTCTTGGCTGGCGTTGGGCTTGCA